CTGGTGAAGCCAGGGAGCTGAGATTTTCCCTGTGGCTGCTGGAGGTGATGCCAGCTCAGCAGGGACTGCTGCAAGGAGAGCTGTGACACTGGAACCAGTTGGCACAGCTGCAGAGAACACTAGCCACAATCCAGCGTGGATGGGGAACCAGATGGAAAGCAATCCTACTGTGTCAACCAGGCATGGGGAAGGCACGGGTGCAATGATGTCGCCTTCCAAAATTACAAATTGCCTTTCATCAAGGCAAGTCTCTTGCTGCTCCCAGATATTTGCATCTTTTTCTTGTGGAAAATTGCGGAATTGGAAATTGGCGGGCTTTGCCTGTGTCTGGAGGGTAGAAGACTCGCTGTTTTCGGCAGGTGCTTCTCACTCTGAAGATGACTCTAGGGCAAGTTGGTGCAGAGAAGGCAATGAGCAACTGGGATCCAGAACTCAGACCCTGCTGACTTAGATCTTGAGATTGTCAGACATGTAGGGAACAACTCTTATGATCAAGCATCTAGATGAGATCATAGTCCTTTTCCATCCTTGTGTTTCTTTCGGAGCAGATGTGTTTCTGCTCTACCAGTTTCTAAAACAGTCACGCATACACAAGTGTGCCAAGAGATTTAAGTGCCTAGGAATGCTGGTAACTTGGTATGGCTAAATTTGTATCAGCAATTAGCTTCTGTAATAGGTTTTCCTGCGTGTGTAATCGCTTGTGTGATTTATGTTCCCTGTGTTCATTTAGTCTGCCCAGAAGCCTGGGCTGTCTTTGCAATTCTTAGTCTCTGTGTGTGCCTCTGCTGGAAACACCCTGTGGCAGCACAGGTCTGGCTGCAGCTCCCAGGTACGGCTGAGGTGGTTATTGCAGTTTCCTATTCTTGCTGATGGTCTTGCTTTTCATGTTGGGTGGCATGTGGCAGGTTCCTTCTGTTAATTAGAACGAATGTGCCAATTATGTTAATGTATCTCTCGATACCAATCAGTGAATGATTAGAGACAACACATCTGTCTTTCACCAGGGAGCAGGATGACAGAAAAGGCACTACAAGGTATGTTGTTCTAAATTACAGACACCTCGGATCATGCCTTTCCGTGCTGGCCACAGGGACAGCTCAGTCTCCTGCAGGCTCACTTGCCAGCCCAATAACAGCCCTGGATGTGCAGCTCCAGTGCAGCTGGCAGGATCCATGTGCCTCATGTAAACTGCAAGTTGCATCCAGAGTGCTAAGGATCTTTGGCCAAAAGGTAGCAGACTCCAGGTGCTCTCCAGCTTCTCAGCATCTGCAGATTCTGTTGGTCAGGTTTTCATTCACCACTCTCACACCTCAACTGAGTGGCCTTCTCTCGCTAGCCAGTTTGCAAACATATAAAAAAAATAACTTCTTGTGTAGAAAATTAACAAGAAGAAAAGGGATTTTGTGTCTGCTTTGTTCCAGGGGTTTGGTATATGAGAAAAAATGTGTATGTTGTTGTAATTGTAATTTTTTATAGCTGTCATCCCCCAGAGGGTACACTTACCCCATCCTTCATGGCACAATATTTGCCAATTAAATGATTGCTGTTATGATAAGGAAAAAACTGATCCCATGCTTTTTCTACATATATGCATGACCATCAGTAGATTTATCAATAACAGCTGGAAGGATGTGCCTGGTTTAATTGAAATACATAGAGCTAGGTTCATGTTCAAAAATTGTTCTGATTATAGCCAGTAAATACACATCCTTAGTGTTTAGGAAAAAGCAAACATCTACTTTAGAACATCTCCAGAGAGATCAAAAATGGAGGCATGAGGGTGTGATTTGGTATGACCGTGAAGTCAGACTTTTGTGCACTTTGAAATGCCCATCTATATCCTACTGCTCCTCTGTGCACTCACCTGCAGGTGTACAGGTCTCTGGCACAGAAATGTCCATGGCTTAGCTGCCAGTAACTATTATTCAGGCTGCAGAATTAAATTCAGGATAAGTTTCTGCACTGACTGGATTAACAGCCTATTTCAGTGAGGGGGCTGCACCTTGGGGAATGACATGGCATCAAAAGAGATCATTGCTTTTAACTTCTGTGATAACAGTTTGCATACTTGTCACTCATAAATCACACTGTCTCATTCTGCTTGCTTCTCTTCTGTATTTGACACCTGATCTCTTCCTACTTACGTGGCAGAACAACTCTACTCCCACCTACTCTGGTTACCTCAAAAAAAAAAGTCTGAGGTTTGGAGTCACTGAGCACTACAGTCACCTGCACCATAAAATGGGTCCAACAGTAATTGAAAATAAGTACCAACAACAGTCTCACATATTATAGTGTGTTTAATTAGTCTGCATTTCTACAAGAACTGAGGGAGAAAACACAAGCACTAGACAGGTGTTCTCTTTTTTGTGTTGCTCTACTAATGGCTGAAATATGTGTGAAAGGAGACTCCCACTGCTTGTCAAGTCATCCATCAGTTCCTTCCTTCAGATTTGACATTAGAGTTTGCAACATTAAAAGGCACCAAAAAAACTGGATGCCAGAAGACTGCATTAGATATATTAAAGAGATATATTGTAAAAGAGATGGCATTTACACACAGTACTGATGTACTGGCAGAAAAGAAAAGGCACCCTGTTGTTCTTCAAACTTTTACTGTTAGCAAATTCTGTGAGACATTAGGTGAAAAGGATCCTTTTCCTAAGAGATTTGGTGTAGAGCCAGAAGCAATATACTGAATTATACAGAGCTGCTTTGTTTGGGGATTTTTATTTTTTTTTTGTATTGGCAACTTCTCTTTTCATATTATCTTTGGTGGTTTTGCAGGGATGATAGGGAATTCAATGCTTACAAGTTTAATTTTTTCTACTCATTTGAGACCCAGATTGAATATGTATGTGCATTTTTGCAGAGAGAGAAAATGTTGCAGGGTAGTAGAAAAAACAACCATGTCCTTGGGCATGGAGCCTTGAGGGAGCCAAAGGCTGCTAGAGTATATTCTTGAATGGGCATACCAGAAATATTTTAAACTGAGCCTTAGACCATGTAGACTGTGGTCCTGTCCTTACTGGTGTCCTGGTGTCCTCAATGTGCAAAGCAGAGGAAGAGTACAGGCAGATTTGAAAGTGGAATATACACAGCTCTGGCAGTGTGTGTCGTATCTTTTGCAGCTCTGGTATAACCATCCCAGAAATAAATAGTGACATTCAAACCAAAGAAATACATGGTTTTTGTGTGAGAGGCAACAGTTAAATGGCAGCATACCACTGATGGAGATAAGGTTCTGGCTTGTTTTTCAGTCTAGAATTCATGCAGACTCAGCCTGCAGGTGAGGAAAGAGCTAAATATTGCCATTTACTGAACAGGAATGTGTCTGTCTTGATTATACCTGAAACCTATTAGGCTTCAAGAAAGGCCGAAAACCAGGTTTAGTCATTCTGTCAAGGAAAAACAGATTATTGACTAAGAGCTTGTATATTCCATGGTGAAACATAATTGTGATGGTGAAGGAAATACAGCCTCCAAAGTTTTTTGTCTTTTTCTTCCTCCTCTGCTCCTTGCAGATACATGTATCCGTTTCCAGAGCCCTTGTTATGCTGCTGTCTTTAAACTCCACAGTATCAACAGCTTTGAGGCTGCCACAACCCACAGTGATGTGCTGTGAAAGAGAGGGGTTTAAATCAAGCCTTCCTTTGAGCAGTGGCTCTACATTCACTAAAGGTATAAATCTTTGGAAGCAGCTCATACCTGAAGTGCATCCACTAAACTGGAATAGGGGAGCTGGAGCTGCTTAAGGCAGGGCTAAAGGTGGGGAACGGGTGGTGGGCACCTATAATCCATGCCCACATCTGCCAGTACTGATATTGCAGCCTTGACTGGCTTTGTCTGGGGGTGAATTGAGCCCTCTGTGTTAAACACCAGGAGAAATAATTGGTTTTTCTCACCATAGTTTGAGGCAGTCTTGTACAGCTGTCTCACATGGCTTTTGGGGTATGTCAGTGCTCGAGTAGTTCCTCAAATGTCTTTAGAAAAGTGGAGTTTGTGAGAGAAGGACTTGGCTGCTAGTGCCTCACCAGTCCGGTGGGTTGATTGTGGTGATGTTTTTCTTCCTTTAATTAAATCCTGGGCAAGGCTGAAGTGATCCAGTGATGTGAAGGCCCAGCTTTGATCCATCCAGGGTCCCAGTCCTGTCCTTCAGAAAACTCAGCTCAAATGAAAACGAGCTACTAAGCTTGCAGCCCAATTATATTAGAGTGGCTCACAGCAGTCAGCTGGGATATAACAGGGTGTTTTCTTAGGAAGGCAATAAAGAGAATATTGTCTAGATTAAAAATTTCATATAAAAATATCTTTCTGTGCAACCAAGGAAATCATGCTTTATTAAAGTAAAATATAGTTTACGCAAATAAAGAGGAAAAATAAGCACTGATGTCCTTGTGATTTCCTATTTCCTTGGTAACTGACTCTAATTTGTTTCTTTCTCATTAAAGACAGGCAATGTGCATGAGAGTGCAAGTGTATTTAAAAATATTGGGGTTTGTGATTTGTTAGTGCTACCCGCTCCAGTATCCCATTCCTAATTAGGTGAGATATGGAAACTAATGGGTGAGATCTGTGCTGATTTAGAGTTTCTGATGTTGTAGGAGAATTTCTGTTTGCAGATATGCTCCTAAGATATCACCCTTTCTTTTTGCGTTGCTTTCAACTCTGAAAGCACAGATCAGTTTTTCCCTGTACACTACCTGGTAGCCTTTGAAAATGCATTGGTGTTTTCAAGGCAAGGCAAGACAGCTGTTGTGCAGAAGGGTGGGACGAAAGGGGACTTGAAGGGAAGGGTAGGCATGAAGAGTGTTCTCCTGTTTCTCTGCCCTGGTGTTTTGTTTCAGTTGGTGACATTCATCAGGTGAGTCCTTCGTCATGTGCCTTGGCTTGTAGTGTTTTCTGGGATGAGCAACACAATCAGAGATACTGTGTCTGTCCATATTGGTGTGACTTGGTGCTGACTCACTGCCTCCCCTCTGGCCCTTTGAAACCCCAAGGTGGAGTGGCTGAAGAATGAAGAGGTGATTGATCCCGTGGAAGACCGAAATTTTTACATCACCATTGATCACAACCTGATCATCAAGCAAGCCCGGCTTTCTGACACTGCCAATTACACCTGTGTTGCAAAAAACATTGTGGCCAAAAGGAAAAGCACCACAGCAACTGTGATAGTCTATGGTAGGTGATGTTTTGTACTGCTGCATGTGAATGGACACACACTCAGAGCAGGAGGTGGGGCAGGAGGGGGATGCACAGTGCCTGTGTGCAGCTCTGGCTGCAGTCAGTGCCCAGGCTGGGCTGCCTGTGCTGCCTGGTAACGCGCAGCCACACACAGGGAGGGACTGCAGTCAGGGAGCACTACTGAAATCCCTCAGAAGTCTGATGGCTTGTCTAATTGGTGACAGGCAATGGTGTTAGAGGAGGAGCAGCCCCCTACACAAACAACCTCATTGGAGAGAAAGTGGCTGTTCCCCTTGCTGTAACACACACTGGCTGTGTAAAGCAAGGAGGCACCAGGGCACATCCTCGAGCCGGCATGGCTTACTACCAACACAGTTCATGTTCTTAGTTACCCTTTTCAGAAATTAGAGTGAAACTGATAGAGAGTTTGTGCTTCCAGTGACTGGTAAGAATGTCAGAGCTCATCAGAATCCACCATCTTCTTATATCTCTTTAAATAAGCTTATTTTTGGTGCTTACTTCCAAAACATACCCTGACATCAAAGCAAAGAAGCAAAGTGTTCTGGGGCTGCAGTTCATAGGCCCACAGCCTAGCTTAAAACTAAACATCAGGGATGCATGGGATATAAAGCATGGGATAGCATTATTCTGTGTCAGCATCCACAGTCTTGACTTGACTGAGACTGGCCATGCTTTGGCTCGGAAAAGATGGGATTCCCTCCTAGGGTCTCTTCCAGCCTGTGTTGCACTGCAGCTCTGCCTCACCAGTCCAAGCCTTTGGCCCTGAAGAGTTTCTTCCCCAAATGCATTCCAGGTGGGGGTATCCAGCAGAACAAAACCTGCCCTGATTATGTGCCAGCTGACTGAACTGGTGTTTCTTACAATCAGCTTAATTATAGGATAGACAAGTAGGAAAAAATCCCTATGATTATCCCTAATATTCATTTCATATTCAGGGTAGCAGTTAGATTTAATTGTAAGCAGTTGCTTCTCTGAAGTTACAATGAGGGCTTTTTACTTCAGTTTTTATAGAAAACTGACTGAATTGAGTTGATTAGCAGTGCTTTTGATATTGAGGGATGGACCATGCAAGAGCACCATGTTTTGTAACTGAGATGAATGCAGAAACATAAAGATGTAGGCGTACTACAACCCTTCCTCATACACATACAGATTTTTTTCAAAAGTGTATTCAAGAGACATGTGTAGGGAGCAGGCATTTCTATGGATTTTGCTGCCAGATCTGCTTAAGGGTTGTGTCATATCACAAACATTTGAGTTTAGGGAATCCGAGCAGTGAATATATTATTACCCATACCTGAAAATGACATTATTATGTAGAGCAGCACAACTTCTTGTTCATCCCTCCATCTATCCCAGAAACTGAGGTGGGTGAAAAGGAGAGTCAGCATAAATATCTTTCCAGAAATAAATATCTTCCCAGAAATAAATATCTTCCCAAAGTCCAACGGAAAGAAATGCTTTTAGTGTTAGCTCATTCTAAACAGCTTAGGGAAGTGCTGGGACATTTATATATGCACCAGCTATGTCCACAGAGGGGTGAGTAAAGTTGTCCTGACATCCTGAAAGGATTCATTCATTCATCCTGGCATTACCTTCTTGAAAGAATGAAAAAATTCTCCATAGTTAATTAAAGCATGGAAGTCTCTCAGCATGCATAGGTGATGGGTGCATCTGAGCATGAGTGGGAGTGCAGGTTATCTCCCTCTGGACAACAGTGCAGCTTTCAGAGCACAGGCTGCCAGAGCTCTCTGAACCTGCAGAGATTTTGGTCATACACACTCTACCCAGGCGCTTAAGGCTGGGTCAGGTTGATTTTCAGGATAAGGCAGGTCACCTGCCAACCCTGATAGTCATCAAGCAGTGTTTTTCATTCAGCATCAGCATTTCTTTGGCTTGTACAGGGACTTCTGGCATACACTTTGTGTGTTGGAGATGTGAGTTTTGTGCCTGTTCAGTGTTGTTTCTTATGCCTTCTCTTGTGGCCACTGTTTGAGGCTGCATGACACAGAGCCAGAAGTGCCTTGGGGCTGCCCAGGCTGGGCTGCTCGTGTGACCATGCTCTTTTTCTCTCACTTTGCAGTGAATGGAGGCTGGTCCACCTGGACAGAGTGGTCTGTGTGCAACAGCCGCTGTGGGAGAGGCTTCCAGAAGCGCACAAGGACCTGCACCAACCCTGCCCCGCTCAATGGCGGCGCCTTCTGCGAGGGCCAGAGCGTCCAGAAAATAGCTTGCACCACTCTGTGTCCAGGTTCAGTATGAACAGCACACATAAATACTTCCTCTGTCATCAGTCATCTCAGGAGAAAACTATTAGTTACAAAAGCTTCCTTCTCATTATTAATAAATCCAACATTTCAGGGAATTAATATTCAATTGTAGTGCATAAGTAGATAAAATAGTGAGCACATCTTATAAAGCAGCACAGGTTCCAGCCCTTCTTTTGCACGCTGCTTGCACTGTGGTCTCAGCTTTTATAATTCAGGGGATTTGAGGAACATTCAGAGCTTCAAAATGTAGGAGATAAAGGTTGAAAGCTCTGGAAAAGAATTGGGATTTGAATATAGAAAGCAACTGTGATGTAAATATATTTGCAATGTCTGTTCAGTCCAGCTGTCTCAGCAAGTAAAGCATCTGGGATGTGGATATTAAATTTGAGGCAGATGTTTACCTGACATATACAATCGTCAAATACAAAGGCATTTTTATTGGAAAGAGATGTGTATCCATACTTTCCGAAGTTTTTAAAATGTAAACTTCTGAAAAATACAAAATAGTTTCTGGACATGCAATATAGTTGGTGACTTGTCTGTGATAAAATTTTGCCATCTGTCCTACTGTCCAGTGCTCTCCTATTACTGACCCACTCAAATCAAGGGCAGTAAGGCCATCTTCAGCCTGTGAAGTTTGGTAATGCAACTCTGTCACTGGAACAATTTATATATTGTTTTTCAACTGCTTGTTGTAGTGCTTTTGAAAATAATTTGCAGGATTTTGAAAGGTGCTAAATGTATCCTTGGTTCTGTTCACATGAAATAAATTGGTGCCTCTAGAGATTCTTTTAATAGAAAATACTTAACATTAAATATCTTCCTATTAAAGAAGAATTTCTGGACAAGTCTAACCTCTGTGTTAAAAAATGCCACCTGCCCTCCACAAAATTAAATCACAGATTCCTGACTTGTTGCTTGTACGCTTTGAGCACAGATAAACTGGCTAGAAGTTTGTATAAAGAGGAGGAAAGAGCAGAAATGGGGCCGGGACAGAAAGAAAGGCAATGTGGGGGTGAATGTGCATTTACAGGCCAGAAGTAGAAGAGCAGGCTGATGATCATTTTGCCTTGCCAGGAATGGCTGGGAGCTGCAGACTGGCTTGTGCTGATATGTGCATTGCTCTGTCTTGGTCTCACTTTTGTGTACCCCTAACAAGTTGTGTCCTCTTCTTGTCTCAGTGGATGGCAAGTGGACCTCCTGGAGCAAGTGGTCCACCTGTGGCACGGAGTGCACCCACTGGCGCCGGAGAGAGTGCACGGCCCCAGCTCCCAAGAATGGGGGGAAGGACTGTGAGGGGCTGGTGCTGCAGTCCAAGAACTGCACAGATGGGCTCTGCATGCAGGGTAAGTGCTCTCTCTGGGATCTGGGCTGTATGTGGAAAACCCTGAAATAACTGCAGATCAGCATCAATGATCTAAACTCACATAACCATTTGTAGGAGAAATGAGTTAGGGACCAGTTCTCAACCAGTCTGGACACCCCACTCCTCTTGCCTGGAATATGAAACAGTGATGAATTAGAAAGAGTCATAATAGAGCCTTCTACTGCCATTCCTCCCCACCAAACAGCCCTGCTCGCTATATTGCCTCAGCATCTGTCCAGAGAAGCTTGGCAGTGGCTCTTACAGCACTGCAAATGGAAAAACAGAGCATTTAGAGCAAAGACAGTGTTTTCAAAGAGTAAACTTGGCCAAGCAGATCAGCTTCTGGCTTCTTACTGTCGGGAATGGTGAGTGCATGTATTTCTATTTAGAATAGTTATGCTCCTTTTTGAATTTTGAGTGACCTGTGGTAGAAAGAGGTACACTGCATCAAGGCAGTGCTGATGCAAACTTCTTATCTGGTTGCCAGCATACTGCAGCTGAAGATCAGCTCTAGCACTGAAGTCTATTCCACCTGTGCCTATTCATGCAGTGAATCCTGCCTTTCTGACTAATAGAGAGAGAAGCAAAGCAAAGTGGGTTTTAAGTGTAATTCCGACATACAATTATTCGGCTCTACCTCCATCCCTTCTCAAAAATGAGGTCTTATCTGGTCTGCTGGTGCATCAAAACTCCCTTTCACATTTCATTAGTGCAATAACCTGAGCCAGAATCCTTGCATACAGCTCTTTCCTATTTCTTCATCCCGTCTCTCTGAAGTACTTCTCTGTCAGGCCTCAGCTCTCTGTTGTCCAAAGAGTTGTGGCTGTACCCATCCAGTATCTCTGCGTCCAGATCATAAAATCCTTTGAGTTCTATCATAAAAAAGGAATAAAGAATTCTTATTCTCTGAGGCAGGTCACTTTTGACTGAAATATTCATGATGACAGAAAATGACACTACCAGATAATAAATTGGTCAGCTCTTTGAGTGAGTGCTATATAGGATAGCTATGTTGGTAGCAAGCTCTGAGCTACCCTATGGCACAGCATGTCCATTTACTTTGAGGTTTCCTAGATTTACAAATATCTTCCTCAATGTGGCTCACAAGCATTTCCATCATGTTAAAAGCTATTAGTCAATGTCAGCAGTCTATAAAGCTGTAATCCCTCAAAACACTTGTTTTTATGGTGAAATTGGAAAGGTAACATTCAGAACTCCTCTCTTTCTTGTTTTAAGGATTGGGGAAAAAAGGCACCCATGTCTTACTATATAACACCTTGATGACTTTTATTGTAGGGAAGTTAATGCAACCCTAGTTCCAGAAGTGTTAATAAGTCATTATGGCAAATTAGGAGGAAAAGATGCATTTCCCCACACAGAAGAGCTCTTCACTATCAGATTATATTTAGACAGGTGTATGTCATCTTTGTGTATGTGCATAAAGAGAGCCATTTAAGCAGAAATCTTGTGGAAAAGTAGATATAATAGTACAGCAGAATAAAAGCCCTATAGGGATCTCATTTATCTGTTGATGGTATAATGCATTTTATTTGTGAAAGTGGATGCTGAGTATAAAGCAGAGGTCTTCAGCAGGAGAGAGGGTGAAACTTGTGAATACTATTCTGCTTCATATATATGTATATAGAAAATGGTAATGAAAAATATGCAGTCACATAATGACCTGCTTAGCTCTAGGGGCTGTGATAATTCTTCAGTGTTGGAATTTAATGGCAGTGTTTTAATGGTGCCTTTATACTCGTAGGGTTTCATATACCTGTAAAACTTCCAGTCCTGCTCCCTGATCCATCACTGCTGAGAAGATTGATTTGCTGTACTTCATGGCAGTGAGCCTGCTGTTCTTTTTCTCTCTCCTTCCCTCTCTTTTTCTTTATTTGTCTTTCTCAGTTTATGCAAAATCAATCTGAGCACTTACATTTTTGCCCATGTGGATTTAGATTCATAGAAAATCTGCCTGCTGAGCCAGGAAGACACACAGCACTCCATTCCTCAAACAACATGCCTCTTTCCACATTATTTGAGGCTTTGGGGGTCTGGCCTGGATCTGACAATTCTCCTAGCCTGGGCACCTGTAGATTCACAACAGTCTTTTCCAGTGACTTCATGCCACTGGGTCTACCGTGGCACATGTGGCATGGAGGAAGCTTCCGCCACCTTTTCTCTGTGGCCACAGCCCTCTGGGAAATCTGTTGGCCAGCTGCTTACCTGCACCATAGTCAAATCCTGTTCTTAGGTGCCCTGGTGCTGCCTCCTTACTGTCAGTCTTTAGTGAGAGCTTGAAGGTTGATACCATGGGTGTAGTTGACGTCAAAGAATTAATAGGCAGACACTTGTGCCAGGAGCCACTAGCCTGTTGCTTTGACAAAAACTCACTTGTAAATATATATATCTATATAGCTGTGTGTAAAAGATATCCTGTAAAATGCTGGATTGAATGAGTCTAATTTACAAGCCCTTTCTCTTTTAGTCTATTATTCACTTCAGTAGCATCAGCTGGATAAATCAATAAGCTCTTTCATCAGACTGCCCCTGCTCCAGCAAAGAGCACAAGTCTGCATCACTATCGATTTCTGTGGGGATAAAAACAGTGGAGCTTTCTCCATCCCTTGTAATTACAGTATTTTACACCCAAAGCTGTAGTTTGTGCTTACCACTAACTGTGGCATTTCTCATGCAACTCTGCTGTGCATTTATTCAGACTAATCATCTTGCTGGTACACACATACTCTCCCGTATCCAGTAGTTAGTGTTTTTCCGTTAAGGGATGAGGGGATGAACAGTCATTAAACTAGAGAGCCCACAGAGAGCCAGCAGGCTGAATTGAAGAGGAAAAGCAGATGTAGTGAAAATTTAGGGCAGTCATTGCTATTTTAAGTTTTCAAGTACACAATATTGTCTAGCAGTTCCCATTATAACAATTTCATAATTCCCATAATAGCATTAATATGATCTTCTGGAACAAAATCTGCTGTAGATGTAAGAAGAATTGGCTGGTTACCACCCACACTAGTTGCATTATTGCCTCCATAGCTGTATTATTTCCCATTTGATGTATGAGTACTGTAGTAAATACTTCAGTGCAAGGAACAACACTTTTAAAGGCACGCACTGCATCTCACCAGGGGATTGCTGTAAACTGAAGCACTGCAATTAGCCCTTCACTCGTATCACCTAATGATTTTGGTGGGTGTTCTGTGTGGGGAATGAGAGAGCAAAGCACTCTCCTGCTGCCTCAAACTTCAGTACAAGTAGTTCCCTTCACCTAGGTCACAAACATTTTTAAAGCAATGTACCAGAGGAAGTGTTTTGCTAGGCTCAGTCTGGAATGAGTGCAAGATCACTTGTGTGGTACAAAACAGATGCTTGTGCTTTGGATTATGTTTAAAATTCTGCTGATAGTAAAGAAAGGGTGGACAACCTATGAGGAGAGTTAACTGTGCTACATGGTTACGTTGAAGGCTTATTACCTGAGTTGTGACATGCAGCAGTCGTGCTCACAGCATGTCACATACATCCTTTCTGTTGAGGGTCTGAAGTGAAAGTGTTCAGATCTGTATTGCCCCTGTCCTGAACGAATAAGTACAGCAAGTACATAGGCATGAGGTTGGTGCCTGCTGTCTTTTAGGCTTTTCTGGAATCATGCCTGGAACATGCAGGGTTGGCACCAGTTCAGTCACAGGGAGACAACCAGTGCCCCTTTTTCTGCTCACTTTTGGCTTTAGTCGACTACTGTGGCTTTTCATAAAAGGCTGGCTAAGTTGTACTTTAATTGTGTTTCTTTTTTTTCAAAACACAAAGCTAACTCTCTTACAGCAGCAAGCAAGATGACACAGAAGCACGTGTTGTTACTTGAGGACTAGGGGTTATATAGTTACACAAATAGTATTGTTGCTCTGTGAAATAAAATTGCTTATTTTATACAGTATCACAATATGGAATAAAAATCTCATTGAATAGGAACAAAAGGAAATTTCCACCTGTGAATCATTGCCACGGCTCATCAGATCCAGTATGGACTTTCCCTTTGTTTCCTGAGCATGAAAAGACTGAGATGTGCTACTGTCATTTAAAAAAAATGGAAGAAAATATCCCAAATATCTTCACCTGTTGCTACAGACAATACTCTGGACTAACTCTCAGGTCACTCTGGTCTTCTCCCTGCGTGCAGCTTAACTACTTGGAGATGCAAATAACAGATGCACTGCTGGAGGAAAAGCCACCATACCATGGTGAATATGTCATTACCAGACTAGTAATGCCGTTCCTTCTTAGGAAAGGCTGCCTTTTCAAAGAGTAAATTGATGTGACATGGTGACAGCAAATCTGTATTTGTTGAGTGCTCTGAAATCCTCATCTGAAAAGCAGTATGAAGTTCATAAGGCTCCCTCTTGCAATGATAGTGCCTAAGCAAGTGAAAAAGATGCAGTTTATTCTGCTTGGGCATGAAATGGCAAAATGGTGCCTTTTTCAGTCGTGTCTCTTTTTATACACAGGTTTTGAGTAGAAAGCAAGGTTACCCTGATACTAGCATCGCTTTCTTCCCAAAACATTCATATTCTGTACGTGTCCTGCTTGGTTAATGTAACATGTCAGAAACTCTGATGGAATAAGTATTCATTTCCCTTTTTGGCTTTATTTGAAAGCAGGCATTCAGGGAAGAATTACAGGGCAGAGCAGCTTGATGAGGGCCACAGGTCCACCAGAGCAGATCAGTGTGCAAAGAGCAGGGGAATGTTTTCCAGACTCCAGAAGGTAGGCAGAACTCTCTCAAGGGAGACTGCAACAGAAGCCTGTGTGTGTGCAGAGGAATGAAATAAAACCTTTTATTAAGAGCATGTGGGTCAAGAGAGAACTTCTAATACATTCAGTCTGTCAGCATAATGATACAGCCACCTGGTCTGTTTTGGCCTAGCAGGGGGAGTTCATTCATTTGAAAAAGGCATCTCATCTGTTTCTAGAGGA